AAAACTATTGAACCTACTGATAAACCTTCTTCATGATCCTACTGATGGAGAAACATGTTGTTAAGAAATAAAACCAGATAGGTGTTTATATATATATATATGTATATATATATATATATATATATATATATATATATATATATATATATATATATATATATATATATATATATATATATATATATATACATATATATGTATATAAGTTTTCATGAATGAAAGTTAATAAACAAATTTAACTTTTTAGATTAACTTTACAAATTTTCTTTTAGACATTGGAGCCTGAAAAAAAACTATCAGGAATTTAAAGTGCTTGAAAAGGAATTTAAAGTGTTTCCAACGTTTGTTCACTTAAAATTTGATCACTTAAAGTTAATAAAAAACAATGAGGCAAAAGCAATTATATATATATATATATATATATATATATATATATATATATATATATATATATATATATATATATATATATATATATATATATATATATATATATATATATATAAAGAGAGAGAGAGAGAGAGAAAAAGAAAAACTATTGAACCTACTGATAAACCTTCTTCATGAACCTACTGATGGAGAAACATGTTGTTAAGAAATAAAACCAGATAGGTGTTTAAAGTGCTTGAAAAGGAATTTAAAGTGTTTCCAACGTTTGTTATTGAGCTAATTAGAAAAATGCACTTATGCTAGATTTATTAGGACTATTTATTGATCCAAAAATCAGATCAACTTTAGCTTTAGACAAACTCAAAATGGACAGGCAAAAGAAATTTCTCCATTTAAAATTTATGCAGAGTTTATTTTAAATTCGAAATAGTAAAACAAGTGGTCAAACTATAAACAGAATTATTAAAGTTCTAGAAATTACCTTTGATGTTCGAATATGGTATCAGCTTAAATATTTTTGATAAAGTCAGATAACAAAATACATCAAAGATTTTTCTTATTCACAAAGTGTTTAGACATTATGTACAACTTGTTTTCAAAGTTTCTCATATTGTCTTTGGTATGGAAGCACATCAAAACTTATTGTGGATAAAATTCTAATCAGAAAGCATCAAAAGAGTTTTGTTTAAATGTTTATTTGTGTCTAAATAAATTTTTGTTATAAGAATTTGAGTTAGTGAATAATTCTTTTAATTATTTTATATTTAAAATTATTTATTTATGCAATTTTTCCTATTTTTTTCTGTGTGTATAGATTTTCTATGTGTATAGAGTGTATAATATGTGTTTCTATGTGAATAGATTGTATAATATAAAATGTGTGAAGATTTTCTTTATTTATATCAACATAATTTTACAAAATAAAGAATGATTAATTACCTAATTAATTACGTAAAAAAAAGAATAAAAACTTTTTTTTACGTGTTATTTTACGTAAAAAAATTTCTTTAATTTTATGTATTTTATTATGAAGACCAAGGCCTAAACAATCAAGGTCAAGGCCAAAAGTTTAAAGGCCTAGGGCCTTAGTTTTTAGTCTTCAGGCAAGGTCAAGGCCAAGGACTAACAACTCTAGTCTAAAGAAACCTCTATATAAAAAATAATATAAAAAAAAGTTATTTTTATAGAAAAGCTATACATATTTTGTTATAGGGTAGGGTAAAAAATTAATGACGATCCTTTTTTTTTTCCTTTTAAATTGTATTCTTAACAATTTAAATACTGTTTGAACAGTTTTACTTTTTGCGGTTGTCTCTGATTTGCCAAATATTATAAAGCAACAAAATATTCTTCATCAGAATCGAAACAGTCTAAGTCCAAATCCTTAAGAAACTGTTAATTTTTGTTAGCTTTGATGTTTTCAACTCAAAAACATTTTGTTTTTGACAACCTTTTATGTTATTGATTCGGACAGTAGATTTCCGAAAATAAATTCAGAGCATAGATACCTTCAAAATTTTACGCCGGTAAAAGTTTTATAACATTGATTGAAAAAACATTTTACGTCTCTAAATTTACGGCTGTAAAAATTCTAGAGTAAAAATTCTGCCGGTAGCATTTTACGTCGATAAAAAGTTTTATAACATTGATGAATTTTTATAACATTGATGAATTTTATAATATTGATGATTTTTCATAAATATAATTTATTATTGCTATTAATTTTATTACTAAATGAGTATTTCAACCCTGGTGAAATACTCATTTAGTAATTGATGCCACTAGTTGCGTTTTACCTGATATACCCATCAAACAGGTTGATCCATTGCTCGACATTCGTATCACTCCAGCTTCTGTATCTAAAGTGATTTCCCGCTTAGACTCTTCTACAGCTTGCGGCCCGGACAACATACCTGTTATAGTCTTGCAGAAGTGTTCTCCTGAGCTGTCGCCTATCTTTTCAAAACTATTCAACAAGTGCTTATCAGAGTCTTGTTTTCCAGCCTGCTGGAAAGCACCATCTGTTATCCCTACTTTTTAAAATTCTGGAGAGCAATCTGACTCATCTAACTACCGTCCCATTAGTCTTCTTCCTATCATAAGCAAGGTTTTTGAATCTTTAATTAACAAACACTTAATCTCTCATCTCGAATCTCATAACCTACTTTCTGATCATCAGTATGGATTTCAATCTTCTCGTTCTACGGCTGATTTGCTATCAGTAATAACCGATAGGTTTTATCGCGCATTAGATAAAGGTGGAGAGATTAAGGCCATTGCTCTTGACATTTCTAAAGCGTTTGATAAAGTTTGGCATGCTGGTCTCCTCCATAAGCTTTCTTCTTATGGTGTATCTGGAAACATCTTTAAGATTATTGAATCTTTCCTTTCCAACCGTAGTATAAAAGTTGTCCTTAATGGACAGCACTCTTCTTCTTATTCTGTAACTTCAGGGGTTCTCCAAGGTTCAATCCTTGGCCCTATACTCTTTTTAATTTACATTAACGATCTTCCAGATATTCTCACATCTAAGGTGGCATTGTTCGCTGATGATACTACCATTTATTCTTGTCACGATAAGAAGCCAACTCCCTCTGATTGCTTGCAGGGGGCATCTGAGCTTGAAATGGATCTCACTTCTGCTACAGCATGGGGCTCACAGTGGCTGGTGAACTTTAATTCAGATAAAACTCAATTTTTTTCGGCCAATCGTTATCGCAATAATTTAGACCTTCCTATATTTATTAACGGTAATGTACTCGATGAGTCTCCTACCCTTCATCTTCTAGGATTAACTCTTACTTCTGATCTTTCTTGGAAACCTTATATCAAATCCGTTGCAAAATTAGCATCAAAATTAGCATCAAGTCGCTTCTCTTTATTGAGCTCATCACTTTCTTACTCTGGATTCTATTCTCTATCTCTATAAATCTCAAATCCGGCCTTGTATGGAATACTGTTGCCATATCTGGGGCGGATCTTCTAATGATGCCCTTTCTCTTTTAGACAGGGTGCAAAAACGCATTGTAAACATAGTTGGACCTGCTCTTGCAGCCAACCTTCAACCTCTGTCACATCGTCGTAATGTTGCTTCTCTTTCTCTTTTCTACAAATACTATCATGGGCACTGCTCTAAAGAGCTAGCGTCTCTTGTGCCATCTACTAAAATTCATTCTCGTGTTACTCGTCATTCAATTAAGTCTCATCCTTTTTCTGTTACTGTTCCTAAGTGCTCCAAAAACTCTTATTTGTCTAGTTTTTTTCCTCGAACATCAGTTCTTTGGAATTCGCTTCCTTCATCTTGCTTTCCTGATTCATTTAATTTGCAATATTTTAAGTCGTCTGTCAATCGTTATCTTGCTCTACAATTTTTATCTTTTCTCTTCCAATAACTTCCAACACTAATTAGTGGTTGCTTGCAACCTTGTTGGAAGCGAAGATAATTAGAAAAAAAAATAAAATAAAATAAAATAAAATTAATAGCAATAATAAATTATATTTATGAAAAATAATAATAAAAAAAAGTTTAAGGTCAGCAATTTATTGTCAAGCTTCAACTATTTTTTGTCAGCATCACAATGGCACAAAATTTTTAACTCAAAGATTTCACCATAACATAGAAACAAGGTCAGCATATTCACATAGAATATTTAATGTCTGTTTGGTCACTTCTTTATGCAAAAGCAATGAACTATTTAAAAAAATACAATATCAGATAAGTAAAATGAAAATAAAGTGAAACTCCTATCATATACTGACAGAATATTAAAACTAAAATAATAGACACTTGAGAAAAGTAAGAAACAACCTGACCTAATAGAATTATACTAAATATTACAAGGGTTGTCGAAAATATAATTTTTATTTAATTAGCCCCAAACAAAAAAACAAGAGATTAAAACTTACACCCACACTTACAATTGTAAAGCATAAACCTGCAACTGTAATCAGAAAATATTTCTCTTCAAAAAACATCAAAGCCAACCACAGGAACTCATCTGATAGTTTCTCAGTCAAGGTGGGCTTCTTATGGACTAAGCATTACATAGTTCATTTGGTCATAACTAGAATACTTTAATAGTATGACCTTACTAGGTAAATAAATAACTTTTAAACCATTATACTTATCATTGCAAATCAAACCTATTTATATGCTATATAACTATATGTATATGCTGCTAACTGTATAACTTATACGTAAAAACAATATAGTATAAATGTAACGATCTAATGTAATATGTAAAAATGATGAAATGTAAATGTAAAGCTATAATGTGATATGTAAAAATAAAAAAAATCTTACATACAGCTCTCGGAATTAGGGTCGGCATTTGGCAATTCTAATTTAATAGCCGACCTGTGTTTAAGATTGGCAAAAAATTGCCGACCTCATTTCTATGTCTTATGGTAAGACCTTTGTATAAAATTTTTTGCCTGAAAGCACCTCTAAAAGATTGAGGTCAGCAAATTATTGCCGACCTCATTTTTCCTAATTCCGAGCGTTGTATATATAATTAAAAATCAATAACCGATTTAAAACTTGTAAATTAATGAAAGCACCTGATTTAACAGACAATATAATGCTATCAACAACTTTTTTAATAATTCACCTTCTGAAATTTGTAAAACCATATCATATGTTGTTGGTTTTGATCTCTTCAGTTCAAGTAAACTCATGCTATATAATAAATATGAATGGAACACAAATAAACAAAAAATAAAATATGTAAATAACAAAATAACAGTAAAAAAAAAAAAATAACAAATAGTAAAAAAAAGTAAAATAACAGTAAAAAAAATAATAAATACCTATATTTTACAAATGACTACATGTTATTGAATAAAAAATAATAATTTCAGAGTCCAGAGTATGAAAAGTAAGATATTTTGCTTTGCTTTTCATCTAACCTAAACTGAAAGTAAACAGGATATTTACTGACAAAAAAATATATTCAAAAAGATTAAATAAAAATTATTTTAACAAATGCTAACTATAACAAAGAGCCGTTAAGCTATTGGTAAGAGCCATTTTAACATGGCTTTATTAACTTGTTTATTCATATCAGGTTTTATCCACCCATTTTTCAAATTCTAATTTGTTATATATGCATATATATATATATATATATATATATATATATATATAAATTCATTTATATGTGTGTGTGTGTTTATATATATATATATATATATATATATATATATATATATATATATATATATATATATATAAATATATATATATATATATATATATAAATATATATATATATATATATATATATATATATATATATATATATATATATATATATATATATATATATATATATATATATACAGATTTATACACTTTTTAACACAAAGATTAAAAACTACATGATTCATGGAAGGTAGGTTTAAAGAATCAAATCGTTACTGATGTTTTATGTCATGATACACCAGTAATGATTTGATTCTGTAAACCCATAGACTGGTGAGACAGACAGCTTTGGGCAAATAGTATACACATATAAGAGAAATATTATTTTTATTATCTTTTTTTTCTTCCCGTCTTCTTCTAAAAATATTTAAAAAGTTTGCGAACTTAAAAAAAAAAGCATTTTTAAATATAGATCAAATAATGCAGTGTTAAACAATTTTTTTTATATGCAGATAATGATTGTCCAAAGTTTGGGCCAAGCTGTAGCCCTCAGTTGATCAGGATTAAAGTGAAATGGTTTATTAGTCCAAGGAATCAATGAAATTAAATCAAAATAAATCTCTATTTGTAATTCTTGACTTTGAGTCAAAAATAACATTGCAACTAAATTAAAATTAAAATAAATTAAAAGCTAAATAAAGATTAACAGGAAACGAACAAAAACAAATACTCGTTATCGATTTTCATATAATGTCGTTATTACAAATATTGTTATTATTTTTATTGTTATTAGTGTTATTATTATTATTTTTATTATTTTTTCTATTATTGTTATTATAACAATATGTGCATATCATAAAAAATGATATATAATTGCAAACAATTATTATTTTCAATTATGCATCATTATTATAATGATGATCTATTATTTGTTTTCTGTTAGTCAATTTTTTCCTCCGCAATATTAAGAAACACATATACATAATAACAACAGCAACTTTTGCTAGAATCATTATTCGTGTAAAAAATGCTTAGTATTATCGTAAAAAGTGTTCTACTATTTAGAAGCTGTTGACAGACACTAAAGGCAGCTTTATTTACAACGTATTTATTGAGGGACAACAAATTTGCAACGTCCGCAAAAATCGTTAACCCACCTCCCGAAACAAAAAGGACCTAACCGAAGGTTCCGAACCACTTTAGCAGCAACGTTAACATCTGATATATTCTAAAAAGATTTTTTTCTTTACGTAGCCTTGCCATTAGTGTCATAAAATAATAATTAAATAACAAAATATATGTAATTTCAAAACAGTTAAGTTCTGTAGACGTTCATATGATCACGTCATGTAAAGTGAGAAAGACGACATCTTTTATCTTTTTATATTATTATTATTATTATTATTATTATAGTTGTAGCCGTAAATTTACATAGAATGTACACATACAGCGAGCAGGGGAAACACCCCACTATAAACAACCAGTTTTATAAATATTTGTTCCAAACTTTTTCCACAACCAGGAGTCTAGTCTATTTTTGAAAGAAAGTACAGTGGAGTACAAAGTTATTTGCTCTGGTAGATTGTTCCAGTATTTTGCTGATCTATTATACAAATGATTATATCTTGGAAGACAGTTTAGAACATACTCACGCCTTATTTTAGAATGGTGACCACGAGACACGGAGTTAATATATTTTGGTAGATATTTATCATTAACTATATCAAAACGATGTATTAATTTAAAAATTTGGATTAAATCGCATCGAAGGCGTCGAAACTCAAGTGATGGTAGGTTTAATCTTTTTAGCCTTTCGCAGTATTGAAGATGCCTCAAGCTGTAAGCCCATTTTGTAGCTTTGCGTTGAACAGATTCAACCAAAGCCATATCAGCTTTTAAAAAAGGAGCCCAAATGGACACTCCATATTCAAGATGTGGTCTTATAAATACTTTATATAATTTGAGAGCCATTTTTTCATCAATGAAAGTGAATGTCTTTTTCAGCATACCGAGAATTTGTAAGGACTTAGAGACAACTGTTTGAATATGAGCGCTCCACTTGAGGTTAGATGTAAAAATGACTCCTAAATCACGTTCTTTAGTAGAGCTTCTTAGAGATTGGTTGATTCCTTGGTTATTTTGAAGAAAGTAATTGTAATGGGGGTTGTTTCGACCGTAATGAATGACGCAGCATTTTGAAGTGTTTAGCTTAAGTAACCAAGTGTTTGACCACTCGTATACCAAGCGTAGACGATCCTGCAGATCAACAAAATTAATGTTTATTAATAAGGTAGTAGATTATTAGAGTAGATTAAATTGTTTGATCTATTAATCAACTTAATAACGTACTATTAAAGTGAAGATTTATTTTGGTTGTTTGTTTGTTAAAATTTAGTTAGAGTTTATTTAAAATTTAAATTCTTTAGTTAATCAAGAGAGATCTAATAAAGGTATTAATTACATTAGTTGAATGTAGCATTTAATATGTATTTTATCGATATTTTAACTTAGTTGATGCATTATTATTGCTAAAAATTCCATTAACTTGTTATAAAAATATGTTTTCAGAATTGTTTTTGCACAACCAAAACTGAGCGTTGCAAACCTTCCAGACTTAACTTTTAAGATTGCCTAATTTTTTAGCGTTTTAGAGTTTTATACAGTAATGGTAAATAAACTCAACATCTCAGTCAAACAAAAAGTTATGGTTTCTGAAGATATATAATGGGAGAAACATGATTTTATTATTACAAAAAGTAATTTAAAGCTAAATTTTTACCAGACTTTTTATGATGGACCTTTTCATTAAAAAAATTTCATAAAAACTTAAAATCAAAAAAAAAAAAATCTACTTCAAACTGCATCTTAATCAGTTAAAAATGTGTAATTTTTTATTTAGAAACTTTGTAAGGTATTTGCCAATAAATTCATTAATGTAGCATTGAAACATATTTAGAAATTTTCAGATTATTTCAAATTAAAAATTTACATTTTCTGAATAATTGCAGAAGCAGCTTTTTAAACAAGCTAGAAAAAACAAAATTACTTTAATGTATTACTAAACTTTTAATCAACTTAATAATTACTTTACTGATCAGCTGATAAATAACGATGATGATGATATGAACATTGTTGAGAACCCAATCAATCGTAAATACATAGGCATGCAATTTTTTAACTCTTCAAACATCATAGTTATAATAAACACATCATAAAAATAATATATATTTTTTCTCTATTTCATTTAAATATCACTTCACTAGTTAAACAATTTGACGAACTAACTTCAATTTTATATTTTTATTACTAATCGATTATGAACTTAGTATAATCGGAATAAAAGAAACAAAGCTGAAATCTGATCTACTGCCAACAACCCCAATAAATCTTAGATAATATGTTTATGAAAATTCTGTAACAAAAACATCATTTAGAGGTGCTTTACTTTATATTTCTAACAAACTAACTTATAAATCGAAAAGTGGCTTAAAATTTAATTTTTTATTGATAAGTTTTGTTAATTACGAATCATTATATTCCTAAAATTAGTTCTAATTGTCAGGTTAATATTTTTTTACTTATTCAATGTTATTTTTTTTGAGCTAATTTAAATTGCTTATTTAAAGTGCTCATATTACCAAGTGGTCTGGATAATATGAGCACTTTTGCAACTTCTTTTAAAACCTCTTTATCTTTAAGAAAAAAATTTCGGGTGCCCAAATATCTAAGTGGATCATGAGTAGGGATCCCTAAAAACTATTTATGAGCAAAAATTTCGGATCCAGCATAACTATTTTGGAAAATATTGCAATTTTCGCTTAAGGTGCTCATATTACCCTAATTTGCCCTAACTACCCTTTTTTTTCACGTTTTCTTATAAAAAAGACTTTTTCTCGGTTTTAATGACTGCTGTGAGTTTCGAGTCAACACAATAAAAAATAAACTTGCTTTTTCCCGCATTGGATTTAAAATATTATATACTATCTATAATAATATATTTAGATGCATGCTATGTAATTGACTAGCTATGCAAGCTATTATTTAGTATATATTTAATATATATGCTATTATTTAGTTTATTTTATATAGTAGATACCTATTATAATAAATAATCTGTAATTCTTTAATGAAAACATAAAGTTTTGTTTTAAATAGACAAAAGGCTATACTTGTTTTTTCCACATCAGATTTAAACATTTTTTTTTTGCTGTAATAAACTAATCTCAAAGTTTTTTATCCACTGGATAGCTCAGTTGATTAGAACGTCAAACTAATTGTTAAATCTGAACTATTTTGCAATAAGAGTTTAGCTTGATGCATCAGTAGTACTTCCGTATGCATGAGTAGTACTTCCGTATGCATGAGTAGTACTTCCGTATGCGTATAACTATGCTTGTAACAACTATGTATGAATATAAAAGAGTCCGCCCTTCCATTCAATTTCTTATCTATTTTTTAATTAGTGGAGGTCGGGGGATTGATGGCCTCTGGGGTAATTATGGACATATGATATTTCTATATTTGTGTAAATTAAGTGAGGTTTTTTATCTGTACTGGTAATAATGTTCTACTAGAAGAACTAATAATTGGTTCTTGTTCTTGGTTCTTCCAAAATAAGTGGCGCTAGTCGTCTTATGTTGTTAAATGTATTAGAAAGAAAAATAATTATTGTGCTATTAAGTGTATAAATGTTAAAGACGTTGACTAAATGATATAAATGTTAAAGACGTTGACACCAATAATAAGAAATATAATTATTCTAGTTTTTAAATATATATAATGTAA